GGTTACAGGAACAGAAGATGAGGTTTCAATTGGATTTGACTGTCCAATTTCTGCTTAAACAAGGACAGGTGGAATTGGAAAGCAGTGAGCTAATACCAGATTACACTGATGCTATTCTCATTAATAAGAGTGTTATTGAAGAACTGAATTGCACTATCCGGGTAATTTACATTTTCTGAAGGAAATTAAGTTTTCAATGAATAGATCTTCCTTTGAAGACTGCAGTTTTTCGTTAGTTTGACATCTCCTAATATGCGACTAGTCTGTTTCAGCTCACTACCCTACACCATGGGCTCAGGCTTTGCCAATATGTGGTTCTCAAAGCTATTATGAGTTCTGTAACATCTCTTACTGTAATAGGCCGCTGTCTTCAGGTCTGATCAATGGAATTCTGATTGATGGAAAGGCAGTGTTCCTGGGTGCTACATCCTTTATGCACGTGCTTTAAATGGAGAATTTTAATATCTTTTCCACCAATCCTACAGCTCCCTCAAGCTCAAATGTACAGTCATGTCAATAGGCAATTGAATGTTGGGTTATACTGAGAACTGCAAAAATTAAATACCTCTCTCTCATTTAAGGTGATGAAAGTCTAGGATGATACATAATGCATTTCATTTTTCATATGCCCATTAAAGATTATTTTCTCAGGCAGCCTAGCTGCATAAAAAATTGCCTTTTATTGCTGTTGATTGAAGCAAAATTTCTTATACCAAAGCAAGCTCATATATTGTATAGGTAAAATGATTAGTGCTATTATGAGGTGGTGAATGAACGGATGTTGATTGCAATTTCTTTGTGATGCAGGGCTGTGGCAGTGTGTCCAAAAAACAGCAGATTCGATAAGACTACTGTCTGGATCAAATCCTCGGAGAGTGATTGCAATAAGCTACATTCGCCCTGCTCAGATTATAACTTTGAAGTCTTGCCTATTTTGTTGCATAGATAAGTATTCCATAACCCATAAACTGTGCTAATTAAAATTAATCTGTCTGCTTTTTTTCAGGCTCAAGGAGAAAAGAAAATTGCTAGTATGGTGGAATGTAAAGACTTCTCTAAAGGGATATTTCAACTGGAATGGGAACATAAGAAAATGAAGATGCAGATGGAAGATCTAAACCAGAAGGCTCGAGATATTCAAACCCTGCGTGTGTCAAAAGATCGTCAGCTTGTACGTTAGTCTCTTGAACTTGTTTTTATCCTGAGAAAAGTTTGTTCTTTATTTTCCTGCATCTGCAGGTGAACCTAGCTCAAATTATGTCCACAGTTCAACCTTAGGGGGTAAACATTTGCTTCTAACTCTTCAGTGCAAAGCTAAAGTTATTAGTGCCACATAGAATTGGTCCTAAGCCTTGAAGTAGAAATACTGGCACATCAAATGAGGAATTGTGGTTTTCCAAACTTAAGGAACTCTTTTTAAACAAAACATTGATCTTACAAGAAAGTTCTGAAGTTGGCCCCATCTGGTATCTATCAGAAATACCACATCATTTATAATTTTTTAAGGCAAGTCAGCTACCTCTAATTTTTTTTTGCTTCAGAAGGGGCAGCAAGAGGACTCTTATTTCTAAAGTAGCTTATCAAAAATGCTGCCTGTGCACAGAAAACGTTGTGCAGCAAAATCCAAACAGCAACAGCTGGTAGTAGGCAGAAATTTCATTGATTGATAGGGGTAGTTGCTGCTGCCCTTCATTGAAGGTAGTTGTAAGAGGTACCTGAATTTATCACTGCCCAAAATAGATGCATACATGAATCTGTTTGGTACTTGAGCACTCTGGGTGGAAAGGGTTGGCCAGGGGTTGTTTGAATAGGGATATCTAATAGAGAGAGAAGCAAGGAGAAGGGGAGATAACAAAAGAAGCATAAAGAGGACACTGCCTGAACTAGCAGCTGATTGCATCATTCTAAGAAAGCCTGAGGAACTCAAGCCCATTCGCACCAAAATAATTAGCTATTATTTTTTTAATCAGAGATCTCAAAACTATAGATTTTTGACTGTCTCTTAGATCAACTCCAATTCTAATGTATACAACCCCAGGCATTATAAAGAACTTTCTAGTCAAGCATCCAGATTTCCTTCTACTTTAAGCATACTGTTCTAAGACAGTGCTTCATAGTTCCTGGAAGCACGTAGCACTGTACAGGATAAAAATAAATGCTTTCTTGAGTCCTGTAGCAACCGTCAACCAAGGTGCTTGGAACACTCAAACCCAGCAGTCAGATTTCTTTGTCTTTAATTCTACAGTTCCTAAATGTACTAAACTACGACAGCCGTGTGAACCACCAGGTATCGGTGCTGGAGCAGACCCTTGGCGTTATGGATAAGGTAAATTCTTAATGCACTGTTACTGAACAAATAAACTGTTTTTATAAGACTCCAGTGGACTTGCCCTCTCTCCCAGTAACCAATATCATCCTCCCCTTCCTCTTTCTCCTCAGAGGTTTAGCATTTGCTGCCTTCCTTTCCATCCCTTTTTATCCCTCTTATCAGGCTTTTCCTAAACTGCAGCGCCTGCTGATAGCATCCCTGCCTCTCGCTGTCTCATTGGCTTCTTCGGTTCAAATCTTATTTTAAAATCTGCTTCTCTCAGACCTGTACTTCTTAGTTCCTTGTCTCTCCCATTTCTTATATCAGAAGACAAAAAGCTTATTGGAATGCATCTTGTGTGAAAGACAAAGTCATGGTGTACTGGCAGTCAAATCTAAAAATAAGAATGAGTTGAGCTACAATGCAATGCTGCAGATGACGGATTTCTATATAACATTTGTCTGAACAGCTTTAATAGCATCTCATACATTTGCTTTATTCTTTTGGAAATGGACAGCTGCACAAGGAGAAAGTGAAGAAATGTCAGAAAATAATTAAGGACCTGGAGAAGCGCATCAGTCTGAAGGAGCAAGCAAACTACAAACTCAGCCTGGAGCTGCAAGAAATGCTCGTGTCTGTCTCAGAAAGGCGGCATATCTTTGAGGCAGCTGGTGAGTCGCATTCTGTAGCCTGCTTTCGGTCTCTAGTAAAGAAGTCAGAAAGGACATCTCCAAGGTTGGAGTGCTGCTGCGGGAGCACTCTAGGAGCATGAGATTAAGAGAGCAGATTTGTTACACGTCCAGTAAGTACTGCCTGCCCCAAAGAGCAATTTCAGTATACAGGTTATGCCTGAACTAGAGATTTGCTTTTGTATTAACAGGTCAATTGATTATTGCAAGTGAAACCTGGTGTCTCTTCAAGTCACACTTGTACTGGCAAAGAACAGAGCAAAAAAAGCAGCAAAAATTGATTTACTGTAACCCGTTCCCCTTAGCATTTGTTCCTAGGGAAGGAGAAGCAACATCAGGTTGCAAAAGCAAGTATTTCTACATTCAGGAACACTGTATAGATCTTCCCCATAATAAAGTAGTTAGACAGGCTTTCAAGAGCCAACTCCATGTAGGTATTGTTCAATTTTGAATACCTGGCAATGGACTGCTCCCTTGGTACTGAGTTCTCTTTAAATACTGACCCTAAGCACAAGCTTCTTTGAAATGAACCACGTTCTACAATGTTTGTAACCCTGGGGCAGCACCTACCATAAAATGAATTCATTCACTAACGTGAGCTATTCCTGATGTTGTGTTTTATACAGACACACAACCAGCTTCTGAAAAGATTGCTAAGGAGCATTACCAGGATATTGTACAGCGACGACGACTAGTGGATCTTGCAAAGGGACAGGCCCAAGAGATTGCAGTTCTTCAGGCAGAAGTTGCAAGGCTGAGAATGAAAACGTTCCCTGCCCTTTACGAAGTAGAGTATTAGCAAGAAAGGCTGCCAGACACAAGCAGCAAGGCAGCCTGCATGAGTGGATAGATAATTCTCAACTAAAGGAGCTTTCAATACTTCTTCCTTAATCTACTATTTAAAAAATTTCACCAGTGGACAAAACCTTCAGGTTTGTTTGGTTTGTGTATTTTATATATAATCTTGTTCATTCAATTCATAATGATGTTATCGTTTGACAGAAGCACAAGTCTGGTTTTAAAGCAGTTGAATACCATCTTCTTTCTGTACGTTTTCTGATCTGCAGTACCCAATCCTAGGACATTCCAGAACGGAAGCAGCTCAGAAAACCCAGGGCCTTTACTTGCATCTTTTTAGAATGAACTAATTTGTCTTGCCCTGAGGTGTGTGTTTGTTTTTGTTTTTTAACTACTTAGCATTTTGACTTAAAAAAAAAATTCCAAATAAAAAAACAACCTAGAGATGGAGATTTTTTTTTTTATTGGTCTATTAGTAAATGTACTTAAGATACCAGGCATCTTAAATATACTTTTCATAAAGATTAAAAAGGAATGTTTGTACTTGAGTCTTCAGCCAAGTCCTGAGTTCACAATCCCATATTTTACCCCAGATCGAGGCCCCCGAAGTGAGGGAGGGAGTGGGGCTGAGGCTGGCATTGCCCAGCTGGGGCAGGGTGTGGGACACAGCTGCAAGCGACTCATCTGCAGGGTGCGGAGGCAGCTCCCGCTGCTGCATACACCCCGGGAGTGCGTGGGAGGCGTGTGCCCCCAGATCTGCACTGCGCATAGGACGAGGGCAGGCTGGAGCCAAGGCTGAACTGGGCTCTTCTCAGTGGGGGGCTGGGCCAGCCTGTGCTCTGGGTGGGCAGTGGCAGCGCTGGGAGCAGGGCTAAGGGGAGGGATTCAGCCACCCCAAAAATTTGTCGTAGCCCCCATCCCAACGCCACTGCTACCTGCCCCAAGTGCGGCCCTGCCCACCCCCCCAGCAAGAACTTAGAACTGCCCCAGCTCCAGCCCACCCTCACCCATGCACAGATCTGGGGGCACACCTCCCCCTTGCCCTCCCAGGGTACATGCAGCAGTAGGAACCACCCCCTCCTCATGTTCCCTAGACAAGCCGCTTGCAGCTCCATCCCATGCCCCACCCTGGTTGTGCAGCGCCTGCCCCAGCCCCTGCCCCACTCCTTCACTGGGGGAGCCTTGGTCTGCCCTCCCCTCCCCTCACCACTTTCTTCCTCCCCGTGGCTTCCCCCACAACAGAGTTACCAGCCCAGCACTGGTCTCATTGCTGGGTTGTGCTCCTGCATGTGGCATTTATCGGTCACATTATTGGCCAAAAAAAAAAAAAAAAAGCCATTTGCCAATACTCTCAATTTTCCTCATATTGGTGCTGAGCCGATATGGGACCGATGTATCAGTGCACCTCTAAGTTGAAGCTCTGCAAAAGAGAAACTAGGATAACTAATAAAATACCATTCCAGTTAAGACAAAATATCAAAGCGAAATGTGGGTTTCATGTAGCATCAGGTACATGCAGAAAGGTAGATTAGGCAGACATCTAAAGGCTCCTATTAGAAATTATTCTGCTTTTAAACACTAGAGTTTATGTACTGCTGAGAGCTAGTTCTATTGTGGTATCATTGTTTTTACTAATTAAGCATATGCAAATAGATACTTAATGCTCAGAACACTGGCATCAGTTGGCTGGCAGTAGGAAGAAACTTGGAAAAGGGATGCATACTACAAACAAAAGGTTGAGCTCCTTCACATTTTAGCATAACTAGAAGCAGCAGATAACTTGAATCCATTATTTCATAATAAACAAGACGATGTAATGTGTCAAACTGATCACCAGAAAAAGATGCAGCCAGCTGTTTAAGTAAAATATTACTAGATTTCATTTTCATATTTCTTCACGCTCAATGGTAATTTTCTCAAATCATCATGAGTTAATCTTCCCCAGAAAATAACTGCCTCTTACAGCACATACTGTATCTAATTACATGGCTCTGTGAACAGTCTATTAGAACAAGCCAGTACTGAAGCAAACAACTATGATGATTTAATATATCTGATGCAATCAGAGTTTATGCAGTCGTTTTTGAGGGCACATTTTTGTAACGAGAGCTTTGCATTTGTTGATTATGTATCTATAAAGTCTTCCTCCGTTCTGCTGTAGTGTAGCAATTGGTCTTCTAATCCAAGGCTGTCTATCAACTGGGTGAGGCTCACTTTCTTTCCATCTGTAGAGAATGCTGATTGGAGCTCATAAAGCATCAACTGGGCGCTACTCCTCCATTTAGCTATCAAACACTGCAGTTCGGACAGGTTGTTCTGAAATGGGAACGTTTACAGGGTTACACAAAATTAGTGCATTTACCCAAATCCAAGACAGACTTCAACTTTAAGATAACTCCCTCTCCCCTCAATACTTAGATTCTGTATGTGGAAAATTAATAGATGTTATAATTTTCTATGTATAGAATGTGAAGAGGGGAGTCTTAAATTGGCTGCCCCTTCCTCCCCCCCCTGCTGTGGCAGGGAAAGCAGCAGTGACGCGGGCGGGGGGAGGGGAAGGCCAAATCGCCACCCCTTACCCTCCCTGCCTGTCCCCTTGCTTCCTGTCCCACCTGCCACTTGCTCCCCTGCATCTGCCCCCTGCTACCTTCCATCCATACCTGTGACTACCCCCCTGCCTACACCCTTCTCCCTGAACTCCCCTCCTTACTTACCTTTTGCTGCAGCTCTGCTCCAAAGCAGGCAGCAGCAGCGGCCCAGCCCCAGCCCAGCCTAGCCAGGGAGAAGCAGCAACAACTGCTCTGGGCCAGGCTGAGTCAGGTCTGGAGGGGCCAGCCTGCTTCCATGCCCCAGAAAACTACAAGATTTAGAGTCCAGATAATGTGACCGATTCAGAAACTCTCCTCACCTTGGATCTGTACATCTTGACCAGTCTGAGCCTACGCAGCAGCTCTTCCTTCTCTTGGAGCTGCTTCACAAGTCTTCTCTTCTCCTCCAATAAATCTTGTTGATTTAGGCCAGGCCCAAACGACACAGTGTGTGGCAAATTCTGAACACATCCACAGGAATGGCCCTCCTGCAAAGGACTCTCCAAAGGGCTACTTTCGGTGCAGTTCGCCTCCAGGCTTTGAGAACTGTCTTGTAAGGCAGAACAGGGTTCCTTTATGGATTGAGCCGCTTCCTCAGAAGCACAATCTTTTCCTTCAGCATCAACCTTAAGACGCTTTGCCACAATGGAACCGGAATTAAACGAGCGTCTCATTTTCCTCAATCGCTCTCTAAGTGTTGCGCTCATTGGCTAAAGAAAAACAGTAACAAAAAACACCAAAAGCAACAAATAGCTTGTTTTAGCAAGGACGCTGATCGTATTCGAAAAATAAGCAGAGATGCCAGCTATTCTAGGTTTTGTATTTACCAGCTCCATTCCTATATGATATAAAACATCACTTACATAGGAACTTCACAACTGGTGACTGGGTGTGAAAGATTCTTCTTCATCTTGTGTGCATGTTGACAGAGCTAGGGGACATAGGAAGAGTTCTGTCTCCAGTGTTTTGGACTTCACTGGCACGTTAGTTTAAATAAGGACAGCAGGATTTTCCCCTGAAGTACAGCCTTTAATGACAGCATGAGAATCTTCCTGGATTAAGGACCATAGGATTTGACTCGTATGTTTTACTCTAGTACAACTCTCCTGGCCAGCAAGAAGAGCTGCAGCATGCTACTGTTGGAAGGCTCTTTCATGGTGACGATAATGTATTTACTTGTAAGATATCAGCTTGGAAACCTAATGCTGGAGCTGCAGAGCTAAAACTCCGGATATCTACCTGTTCCAGAGAATTGACTAAATGCTGGGTTGTTGTTTTTTTTAAGTCTGTTTTGTTCCGGGTATCATCAACAGCATTAAACACTTTCCAAACGTAAAAACCATGATTCTTCTACCCCAAGAACATACAAACGAAGATAAATGAACTATTAAAGACAGTATAATCACTATATGCAAAAGAACAATTACTAGACATTTTGGGAAGCAAAGCCAAGATGATTAATAGGTGGGTAAATACTCTTCTTTGTTTTTATGGAAGCAAAGTAAGACTGAAGGAACTCTTCCCACTACTAACCAGGGCTGAAAGACGAGGATTATAGGATTCTCTGTTGTTTTTTGATTTTCCTAGAACAACATGCATCCAGAAGTAATCCAAAACAGTGCAAATGATAATATCCTCACAATACTTAATATCCTCACAAAATATTAGGAGGAACTTTGGGGGAAGACACAGCATAGCTGTACGCATCTTTTTAATCAGACCCTACGTAGACCACATGTTAATAGTGTGGCATGGTCAGCGTGACACTAATGACACAGTGTATACTTGACATTACATCAGAGATGACAGAGGATATTAAGAGGATAGAGCTCTGATCCTGTCCTGAAGATACACCTCACTTCGATTGTACATAAAGATTTTTTTTTAAATGTATAAATAATTTGTGTTCCAAACAAAGAATTAAACAAAACAACCTGGATTTTAGGCAAGTTTTGCCAAGAGCATGGAAAGTTAGTTAGGAAAGCTGTTACAGACATCAGGAGGAACTGCAAAGGGTTCGGCTAGGACCATAGGAAAGTATGATGACGAGGAGCAGAGGGAGAGGCCAGGTCTGGGAAGAGTGGGACAAAGCACGGGCTAGGGAGCTGCATTTCTTTGTACGTGTGCAGGCAGCAGCAGCATTCTGCATAAACTGGAGCCTGAAGCGCTGGGACTGGAGGAGGCTGTCCAGGTGGAAAGGATTTTTAAAAAGTTAAATAAGTTTAAATAATACCCTGAATATGTGTACAGGTATTTATAGAGCTGTATTGCTTATCTTAATAATTAGGGCATTTAGCACCTGGAACAGAAGACATACTAAGTAAATATATCTAGAATCCAAAGAACACGTCTCAGGTACTTGACAACTTGGATTCTGGGCATAGATTTTTTTTTCCCCCCACACTATTTCAAAGACCACAGGAAACAATTTTACATGAAATTGGTACTGCTACACGTAGCCCCAATGGGAAAGCTTCTCTAAGGAAATGGTAGATAAAAGATTTTCATACCTGTTTGCCTGAGCTTGTCCTTGGAGGGGCTGGTGTCCTAGGGTCCTCTGGAGTACTACATGGTGATGCCGATTTGTCAAATACGGGTGTTTCCATCTTGAGAATAAAAACCTAATTTACTGGAGATATAAGAAGACAGTACGTATAAGACAATCAGGACTCGCAGTAGAGATGATGTCTTTTATTAGGCCAACAAGATTTTTGCAAAAAAAATTCTTTAATTGCAAGCTTTTGGACACAAACACCCTTCATCAGGCACTGGAGAAACGATTGTAAAAGTTCTCCTGGGTTGACAAGTCAGGATATTTTCCCCATGTCAGAATAAGACAAGGAAGCAGCACAGGAAACAAGTAAAGTGACCTGAAATTGAAGCTATTCTACTTATCCGGATCGTAACGTTGTCTATTTCTACAGGGCCATATTCTCCAAACCTCACATTCACCAAGCAATATCTTACTTTATCAATCACCCTCTTTATTTTAGAAGGATTAATGGCAGTACTAGTAGGGGTGAAAGAACCTAGCTTTTACATGTTTATCTCTCTAGAGCTATAAGAAATAAAAGACCATACTGTGTATGAAGAAAAACAGTACAAGCATGCATACAATTTCCATTGGCAGACGAGGTTGCTTGGGTAGATGCGATCTCTTTTATTAGACCAACTACTCTAGTTGGGAAAACTTGTTCTTTACAAGCTTTCAGGTGCGAAGAGATTTCCATTTTCTACCTGCCAAGGGGTAGATGCTCTTGTGCGCGACAGGGAAGTGGCATGTATTTATAAGGAAATTAAACCTTTCACAGGGCCACCTCCAGCAACATCTTTTGCACTTCCGCTGCTAATATGGGTAAGAACTATCTTTACACTGAACCTCCAAGGCTAAAGGGACTCGGGGCTAGACTCTGTGGGCTAAAGGGGTTGCTGGGAGCACACGATTTTTATCATTCAATGAACGATATGAACAATTAAGTTTTTGTTAGGAAAAAAAATACGAAGCAAAACCATTACGTACACAGGGCTCTGAAAATAATCTAGCGTCTTTTTATTTTGGAAGCGCGATGGTTTCAGGTATGCCGCTTGAATAAGCACATTACTCACGCGAGGGAAACGTTTAGGATTAAAGCGAAGCTGCCCCAATTTGCTCAGGCAAGCACGCCGTTTAATATGGCGAGGCGTGCTCAACTTCAAATTGATTTGAGGACATCTCATTTAGTTTGACATTTGTGAACCACCTGCTAACCACCCACGTGCAGCCGCAAGGTTGTCAGTTATGCCTTGCAGCGCACCGCCATTAGCAGCTTAGAAACAGGATCAAGTTTAAAAAAAGGAAAATCTATACCAATTCGCACGAGCACTGCAAGACGGACACAAAGCGCTTCCTCCCTCGGGGCCGCCGGGCAAGGGACTCCAGGTTGAGGCGGTCCCGGTCCCGGTCCCGGAGGCGGTAGCGTCAGGCTGCACGTCTCTCACTGCTCCATTAAATCAAGCACGTGGTTGATATTCTATTTTAGGCTATTAAAAAAAATTAATGAAAGAGGCTTTATACAGTAGCAGAAGTCCTTTTAGCCCCGTGTCTTAGCAGCTTATCGAGCTGCCAACTGCTTTCCAAATCCGGGCCCGTGTCACACCCCGGTTACTTTTCCTCCCAGGGAGGAGATGCCTCGACCGGACGCGCCAGCACGTGCGAGCGCCACGAGCCGCAGCCCTCGTCCCACACGGGCAGAACCGGCTGGGGCTACTCGAGGTCCGTCCTACGGATACGATCGTCTCTTTGTAACACTGCCGTCACCCCCCCCCGGTGGGACGGGGGGCTATGGCGCTCCTGCAAAAAGTGAATAGACAGTGCCTCTGCTACAGAGAAGCAAACCCCGCTCGTCCCAGTCCAACTTGCGGGGTTGGGGGAAGGGCTTCCCGACCCCCTGGGCCAGGCGGGCCACCGGCAAGCCTCGGTCTTCCCGGCTGCGTAATGGGGAGAAGGACCCTAAGGGACCCTCATTAAAGGCAAATGTGGGGGTGGCTTCTACTCCAGCTGAAGGCACCCACGTGCCTGGGGGGAGGGGGGGTGCAACCCCCCACCCCAGGGCGCCCCATTGCAGGGCAACCCCCTCCCCCTCCAGGGTGCAGCCCGGATCGTGAGCACGGGCCGGTACCTCGCCCCGGGCGGGGAATGGCTCCGGTCTCCCGCGCGGGCGAGGGAAGCAGTCGGAGTACGCCTGCTCACGCGCCCGCCCCCGGGGCACAGACTCGGCGCGCGCGTGAAACATAAAGAAGCAGCGCCCTTTCCCCAGCCTGCTGCGCGAGGCGCGGGGCGCGGGCGGGCGCGCGAAGCAGAAAGGGGCGGGGCCCTGTTAGAGAGCGCGACTGGGGAAGGCGGGAAACAGAAAGGGGCGGGTCCGCGCGCGGGCGCAACACGAAGATGCATCGCCCGCCCCTGGGGGTAGGGGGGAGTCGGCGTGCGGGCGGGCGCGAAACAAAACAAGCCAACCAACCAACAGTGGCTGGGGGCGGGGCGGGGCGCGAATCTGCGCGCGCACTCAATGACCCACCAGCCCTCGCGCACGGGAGTGTCAAGACATGAGAGAGCCCTCCTCGTCACGCAGGCGTGCCAAAAAACTAAAACCCCGCACGAAAAAATGACAAAAAACAAACAAAAAAACCCCCCAACCCCCACATACTGTAATGTCAAAAAACAACCCCCCCTCAAAAAAACCAAAAAACCCCAAACTCCCCCCACAGAAATGTCAAAAAAAACCCCAAAACAAAACCAGTCACGCACAGAAATGTGGGCGGAGGCACGGGGCCCGTGTCTGTGGGGACGCCACCGTGGCCCCCAGCAGGTCGGGCAGCCATGCCCACGCCAACCAGCCATTTGCTGACACTCACACCCGCCATTTTGGGCGTTGCCTTGACAGAGCCGAGTGAGGCCTGCCGCTCTGTCCCCGTGAGGGCAACCACCCCCGAGGCGAGGCCGCCCGGGCTCCCTCAGCGTGAGGGGTGGGCCCGACGCTGGCCACGACGAGGGGCTGCCCCAGGCGGCCTCGTGGAGCTGCGCCCAGGGTAGAGCACCATGGAGCCTCGTGCCACCAAGACTTGGCCTGCGGCCGAGCAACGGCGCCCGCTGCCCGCCAGACAGCTGTCTACAGCGGCAAAAGACGAGGTAGGATTTGTCCTTCAAACCAGGTAACCCATCAGGATGATATGGTTTCCCTGAGGCGACAGTAACTCAGCGTGGCTCAAGTTTGATAGCGTTTAATCATGGCAGCCGAGAGTGTCGCAAGTAGGGTGGCCATCATCGAGGACGGTCTGGTTGTCCTCTGTCCTCAATCGATACGAAACCTGACGCCTTTATGTCCTCTATTCTTCTCTTCAAGTTCCACGCGTTGATTACACCCTACGTGAAAAAGAGCTTTCTTTTGTTAGCTTTAAACTTGCTACCTACTAGTTTCATGTTATGATCCCTAGTTCTTTTATGGTAAGAGAGTGAAAATAATAAATCCCTGGGTGTGTCTACACGTGCCTAAACTTAATGTGCATTAAGGCAATGTAGGCTTACACATGCACACGCTAATGTGCATTAACATGGGTATGCGGACCAACTTGGGACGAAAGTTAGTCCCAAGTCAATGGACACCCACCGCCTTAATGTGCATTAGCGTGTCTGCATTTTCACTAATGTGATTTAGCTATTTGCACATAAATTTGATACCTGTTAAAATCGCCATTTTTGAGGCTTATTAAGGGCGCACACTTGTTTTCAAGAGAAAAATAGAGGACATAAAGGCGTCGGGTTTCATATCAATAGAGGATAAAGGATAGAGTAGCAGAAAACCGGCATGTTCTCTATAACGACCACCCTAGTCGCAAGACATTCCTGTCAGGTTGTAAAACCATCCGGAGGGTCAGAATTTCATTGCAACCAGCAACCCCTCCTAACATCGAACACACAAAGTTCCCAAGGTTAAAAAGCTGGAAGACCTACAAAAACATAAGGCCTTTACATGCACCATTACGCGGGAGTTGGCTGTTGACCTATATGGGTGACACAGATTAGTTGGCCCACTGCTATATTCCTGTCCATGTTAGATGCTGAATTGTTCTTTGGTGGCTCATCCAGAGCAATGAAAGTTCAAGGACAAGAAGATTGTCTTCAAGCACGTATGTTGTTTTTTTTAACTTCTCTTTTTACTTCTCTTTTTCTTATCTTTGGAAGAAATCTTGCCTCATCTTGCTATGAACCGTCATCACAAACCACAGTCCCCTTCTGCATTTGTTTCCTGCATAGGCAGAACTGGCTGAGTCTAAGGTTCGAGATCCATTTTATGGTATGATGGCTTTGTTCCAGGGCCAGAAAAATCCTAGGAAAGTGGGTGGAAAGGACCTGCGGAGTCACATCCAGTCCAACTCCCTGCCTGATGCAGGATCAGCCCGGTCTAAATCATCCTACATAATCCATCATCTAAACTCTTTGTAAAACAACCGTCAACCCTGACACAACACAGACATTCCCCCTGAACCCTGCAGGATCGCAGGCCAAAGTTCATAATGGCTAAGTACAGACAGTCAAAAATCCCAAGACTGAATCAATTCAGTCTTTGCAGGTTAGTCTAAACTGCAGAGTTTAAACTGAGAAACACCTGGACACAGTCACTTTTGATGCCACATACGTGCAGTAGCTCAAGCCAGAAGCCGGGGGGCACTAGCTCATGGCTCTCCAGCACATAGCCAGCATGGGCTGTGTATTCACTTCCTCTTCCTGCTGCCTCCAAGGTCTCTGGGATTTGCAGCCCAGAATCACAGAAGCAGGATTCTGTAGGGTTGCTACACTTCCTCTTCCTGCTTCCAGGTACCTTTGAGATTTGTAGTCCACAGTCGCAGCCAGTAGTAACTGTCTGTAAGTTTAGCAGGGCAGGGCAGCTCTGTACTCAGGGGAAGGGGGGTTTAGCCAGGGGAAGGGAGGTTTAACCCCCTCCTTGGCCCTAGACCCCAGCTGGGATTTGCCTGGAGGGGGGCAGTCCCTGCCTTCCCCCCTCTCCCCAACCCTTTGGTATTGAAGCAGAAAGCACAGCATAGCCCAGTCTAGGACTGGAAAGCATGCTGGGATGCTGGGGGACTTTAATTTAACTTAAACCAGGAAGGGGTCTGGGACAGAAGTTTCATAAACCAGTTTGACCTAAATCAGTTAAATTTGATACTACATTCAACCAGGTTCATCTTAAATTAGTTTCAGCCATTTTGAAATTGGTTTATGTGCACTGACTTAAACCAATTTACGTGCAACTTCTGCCCCTATCCAATATGAACGTTGTTGCAAATGCCCCATTTCCAGTATCTGCAGCAAAAGGTATCAAATCCATGCTGTCAAAAGCCAACTCTTTCATCCTGCAATAATACTTGTACCCTATGTTTCAGCAGAGCTCCTAATGCCACTGGGTTTTTCCCGGGGGTGAAATTTTAAGTGCTGTAACCATATTGCACCTCTCCAGGTTCGTAACTTCTGTCTCAATGATGTCTCAGCAATTTTAAAAATTGTTTTCAATCCTTATTGTACTGACACGTTAGCAGTTCAGTTGCACAAGAACAACAGGAAGTTATAGATTTTAGATCCTGACGGCTGAGATTCCATTAAGTTTTTAAAAGAATACAACAATCATTTTACATGCTATTTTTATGAATTTATAACCGTAAAATTTAGATGCCCTGTCGAAAGTCCACTGTACTCGGTGTCTGTATATACAGAAAGCAAGAGGCTTGTTACTCATATAAGAAATATATAAGGCAAAGGCTGAGAGACAGGGGGTGCATCTACATGTGCATTAATGTGCTTTTCCTAATGTGCATTAAATTTACTACCTCCAGTGTGTGGTACTAAATGTGCGTCAGGTTGTCCTAATGCACAGTAGTGCAAGCACATGCTTTTTAGGTGAAACTTAATGCACGGTAGCTTATTTTACTGTGCATTAGCGTAATAGCACATTTTTATGCACTGTTTTAATGCACAGTAAAATAGGCTACTGTGCATTAAAGCACACATGTAGACATGCCCAGGACATATTATCCTCCCTTTTAATACATGGGCAACTGTGCTATAAAGGCAACTGTGCTATAAGGGCAGTCTTGATTCAACATGCCTCACTAAGTACAAGCGGAAGGTTGGACAGGATGGCACCTTAGATGCTAACTGGTTCAGAGGTATGAGGTTCATAGGCAGCAACCTACTTCACCTACAAAAGCTCATGCCTCTATGAGCCAGCTAGTGTATGCCACCCTGCCCTACTTTCTGCCTGACTTCAGACTAACATGGCTATCTATCTCTGTATTTTAAGTATATGAATAGTCCTTCAGAAGTTGAACAGTCTGTCCAGGGTCACACAGGAAGTCTCTGGCAAAGCTGGGACTTGGACTTCAGTCTTAACCAGTTTTTGTTCAGGACTTGTTCTTTTCCTTTCATAAGCAGAGTGATTGTGTTTAAGCAAAGAATGAATTTGCAGGATATCCTTCACAAATTCAGAGGTGAATTTGTAGAATATGTTATTGTCCCTTGGCACCCTTTTTACTGTTATTTCCTCTATCTGGTGTACTTATCTGGCACTGTAGTGATTAGATTCTTCCTTTGACCTGCCTCCACTTAGCAGACCAGAATTTGGCCTGGAATCTGGCCCCAAATGTGCAGGATGCCATGTAAACGTGGTCTCAGTCATTAGTCTCACATTTCTGTCATATTGAATGTAATAGTTTGAATGTTTGTAAGAGTTGCCCATTAGCCAGTTTAGAAAAAGACAAGATTCATCTTCTTATCCAGACCATTGTTTTGGCCTACGTGCGGAAGGTTCGGGCTTTGCTCAAAGTCTTAACTCTTGAATTTTATCCCAGCCCATTGAACCGTACTACTGAGGCCAGCCCATTGAACCGTACTACTGAGGCCAGCCCATTGAACCGTACTACTGAGGCCAGCCCATTGAACCGTACTACTGAGGCCAGCCCATTGAACCGTACTACTGAGGCCAGCCCATTGAACCGTACTACTGAGGCCAGCCCATTGAACCGTACTACTGAGGCCAGCCCATTGAACCGTACTACTGAGGCCAGCCCATTGAACCGTACTACTGAGGCCAGCCCATTGAACCGTACTACTGAGGCCAGCCCATTGAACCGTACTACTGAGGCCAGCCCATTGAACCGTACTACTGAGGTCAGCCCATTGAACCGTACTACTGAGGAATGAAACCATATTTAGGTGTTTGGCTTCTTGGAATTCTAGGATTGTAAGTATATTATGAAAAAATAATAGTATTGATTCAAATTTAACTTTGAGTTGTAATTGTAGTTGTT